AAACAAGCAGAAAAGACAGAATGGGACCAGTTCCTGAGCTTCATCTCCTCTGCTGCCACTAGACCAGCAGCTTTCCCTAAAAGCTAAATGGGTTCACTTTGGTTATGGGGATGTGGTAGCACTAGACACTTAGGCTTTTCTGAGTAATCTGAGTAATCAGTTCACTCTCAGTTTTCCCCCTGAGGACGGTTTCTGCTCCTTCAGATGATGTTACAGGTGTAAAATGCCTGTATCAAACAATAATTGCCAAGGTTTATACTACAGGAGCCTAGATCAGTGAGGCCTTAAAACATCTGAGGAAACTGGACCAGTGGAGGACAGAAGAAGAAGAGCTGGGCCTGAAAAACTCTCTGATTTTTAGATGGCCTGACTTCCTCTGTGTGCCTCAATCTTTAACTCTGTGATGTTATTTTGTCATTTCTGACATTTGTCAGAAGTCCCATTTCACCGCTGAACAAACCCCTTCGTTTCAAACATAATTATATAAATGAAAAAGTTTTATTTGTTAGTGCCGTGTGTATTTGAATGCTACATACATGATCAGGTAATGTATGCCACCACATCTTTTTTTTTCAAAAAACAACTTTAACATCGTTCACATGAATTACAGTACAATTTGAAAATGAAAATAAAGACACGGGGGGGTGGGGGGGCAGACAGAAACAGGAAGAAACACAGCAAGCATGCAGAGTCGCCAGGGTCTGGCAGCCTGTGGGAGGGGGGGGGGCTTTACTCTTTTTCTGTGCAGCCATGAGGGGGAAATCCAACAATTTGTGCTTTTTATAGAGATCTTTCTCTCCTGGACAGACGAGGGGGATGAAGGACAAAGACAGGACCACCAGAACGCTGGGCCGAGCAGCTGTTCCAGCTGTTCTCTGAGCACACAGCGCCCATCGACCTCTCTGCCGTCATGTTCAGATAAAAGTGTGCAAAAGAAGAAAAAAACAAGCGGAGCTTAACAAATGTATGACTCCACCCCCCCAGCGGGAGGTCTGTCCCTAAACCAGCAGACGAAGAAACTCCAGTTTGTAGAAGCTCTGCAGCCCAAATGAGGTTTTTAACACTAAATAAGAATTATTATTGTTATGGAAGCTTTTTCAGATTTTGTGTAATTTTAACTAATTAAAATATATTAGATAACATCATTATTTTCTATTAAGATGTCAGATTCTGTTTATTTCCTGTATTCATGACAAGAAAAGAGAGTTTTAGTGGTTGAATGGTCTGTTTGATGCGTTTCTGACCTGGCTGAGAGCCAATTTGAAATGTGTGTGAATTAAAGCTCTGGTGATGCTGGATGCTCTCTGAGGGAAAACAGAAGGCAGAAAGCCTCCTCAAAAAGGGGAGCAGAGCTGCTGAGAAGCCGTTTGTGAGGCCTGCAGACGTCCACCAGCAGCTGGAGGACTGGAGCTGGTGGAGGAGCCAAACCAAAGTCCAGGTGGGGGTCAGGAGATCCAGAGACTGATCACATAGAAGTTTGACCCAGAGCTGGAAACTGAGGGACTCAATAACCAGAGAAACTGGAGAGAAAAACCAGCAGAGGAAGAATAGAAGCTGCTGTCAGAGCAGAGAGATGAAGTTTAAGCTGATTCTGAAGGAGAAGGAGCCTTTAACTGCTTCTGTTTGGGGTTTAACTCAGAAATAACCATTATTGTTTAGTTTCAAACTGCCAAAGTGCTCTAATTACAAGGTAATTCACTTTATGAATGCATAAAGTATGATTAACAATGTCATAGTAAACCTATCTTTTTTAAAGGTTGAGAGGAAAAGTAGCATTTGGGGTTTAACTTGTGAATAACTTTATATTTTTAGTTTACAAGCTTGGTGCATTTCTTAAGAACCAAATACCTGAAACCGATTTGACATGACTTTAGCACACAGAAGCAGATTTCCCTAAACCCACCGATGCCCCAACTCTCCTCTGGGACTGATGTTCAAACCAGTCATGAGAACAATGAGCACAAACAGAACATTTTATTTGAGTTTAACGCGGCCCTCAGCCTGTCGGTACCAGATTAATGAAGTTAAAAGGACGGCTGTCATGTTCAATAATGGAGGTAAAAAGGGACAGAAAGAGAAGATGGAGGCAGAGAGGCCGATTTGAAGGTGGAAAAAGGAAGTGATGTCATCCCATCTCAGTTTGCTATCACTTCCTCTCAATACTGCACTCAAACCGTGAATCAGAGCTGTACAACAGGGAGGCGAGACGATGTAAACCCAGAAGCTTTTTAAGCCCAGCGAGCATCTGTTAGCATTCAGAGGAGGAAGGCGACCAGAGAGAAAGCTGTTCTTCTGTTTTACATTCACACTCTCAGGTTTCTCTTCGAGACCCCGTCGCTCACTGGCACAATCACAACATGAACAACAACAACAAAAAGAGCGTCCGTCCCGATGCGTCACCGTGGAAAAAGTCTCAAGAGTACAAAAACAAAAAGCTCTTCAACACATTTCATTTTTTTTTCCTTTTTCAGAAAGGCTATTTCGGACATTTCCCCGTCTGCTACTGGCCCTTTTCCACCGGCTCGGTCTCAGGTCTGCTCGGCTTTTTGCAGTTTCCCACAAAAAGCCGACCGGCTGCAGCCGGTCGCAGAAATGCCGCCTTTCATCCCCCGAAGCTTCCCGTTCGGTCAGCCGAGGACTCGAAGACGCCCGAATGAGTGCGTGTGTGTGTTTGTGTGTATCTGTGACGGGTCGGGCTCCCGATGGAAACGCAAACCAGGAACCAATGGGAAAAAAAACAAAAAAAAAACACTAAAGTCAGACGTATGCATATTTAGTTTCATAATCAGAAGCTAAGAGTGAGACTGGAGCCACTAGTGCTTCTGCCTGCACACCACAGGGTGCAGCGCAGAACGGCGTCTCAGTAAAAAGGGTTTCCCGGCAGGACGGCGCTTTTCCAGATCCTCCTCCAACGTTTCGTCGTCTTCTTTTAAGCTTCGCTTGTTAAAAGAAACAAAAAATTGTGAACTTACTAAAGCCCAGAGGGACAAAAAAAGGCAGAAAGGTGGGTCGCAAACGAGCCACCAAACCGCCGACGGATGGGTGTGTGCGCGGGGGCTTCGGGGGCAGAAGGACAGCGCGAGCTCTGTAAGGCAGCCGTAAGACAGAAGACGAGGGAGCGACCCCCCACCGGTGGAAACTCACACAGCCCTGACAACCGAGTCCGTTTTCCTTTGAACAGGTTCACTGCCCAGCTTCCTAAAAGGTAAAAAACACTGTTTGCCTGCGTTTGGTTGGTAAAAATGACGACTATAAACCGAACAATTAGGAAAAGGAGCTTAAGAAATCACAGTTTGGAGGACGGGGGCCCGGAAACACCCGGACGACCCCGTCCGGCGGCTTTGCGAAGGCCGCCGCGTCCCAGCTGGCAGCCTGTGAGGCAGGGGGCAGGGCGAGTCCGGGCTCATAGGCACTGCGGCACGCTGTAGCCGGCGCCGTCGGCGGTGTGCTGCACGGTGTGGTCCTGCAGCGAGCCCAGGTCGCTGAAGCGCTCGCCGCACCACACGCACTTGAACTGGCCCTCGCGGGAGTGCGTGCTCTGGTGCTTGGTCAGGTGCTCGCGCTGCTTGAAGCCTTTGCTGCAGTGCTCGCACTTGAAGGGCTTCTCGCCCGTGTGCACGCGCAGGTGGCGGTTCAGGTCCGAGGAGTACTTGAAGCGCTTCTCGCAGTCGGGGCACTTGAGCGGCTTCTCGCGCGTGGGGTCGCAGCGGTGCTGCACGAACTCGGAGGAGGACAGGAAGCGGCGGTCGCACAGCGAGCAGCGCAGCGGCTTCTCCTGGCAGTGCGCGTTCTGGTGGCGCTGCAGCGTGGAGCTCTTCTTGTAGCCCTTCCCGCACACGTCGCACTTGTAGGGCTTGTCGGGCGAGGCGCCTGCCGACTCGCCGCACTTGTGGCGCAGCAGCTCGCCCGACTGGCTGAACTCCTTCTGGCAGGAGGCGCACTTGAACAGGTTGTCCATGCCGTGCACGTGCTGGTGGTACAGCAGGTGGGACGGCTGCATGAAGCCCTTGTCGCACAGGTTGCACTTGAAGGGCCGGTCGGCCGGGTCCTTGTGCATGCGGCGGTGGCGCGCCAGCGCGTACTGCTGCTTGAAGCTCATCTGGCACTCGTCGCAGTGGAAGGGCCGCTCCTCCGAGTGCGTGCGCTCGTGCTGCCGCAGGTCGGACGGCCGCTTGAAGCCCTTCCCGCAGGTGGCGCAGCGGAAGGGCCGGGAGCCCTGCGGGTGGCAGGGGTGGTGCAGCAGCTCCGAGGACTCCTTGAAGTGCAGCTCGCACAGGTTGCACTTGAACAGGTGCTCGCCCGAGTGCATGTACATGTGGCGCACCAGGTGGGAGCGGTGCTTGAAGCTCTTCTCGCACACGGCGCACTTGAAGGGCCGCTCGTTGCTGTGCGTGCGCTGGTGGTGCTGCAGGTGGGACGACTGGCTGAAGGCCTTCTCGCAGATGTCGCACTTGAAGGGCTTCTCGCCCGTGTGCACGCGCTCGTGCCGCGTCAGCTCCGACAGGTGCTTGAAGCCCTTCTGGCAGACCGAGCACTTGTAGGGCCGGTCGCGGGCCGACGGGAAGGGCAGGATGGAGCCGCCGCCGCCGGTCTGCACGCCGTCGGCGCCGCCGGGCTGCTGCGAGCTGCTGGAGGAGGTGGGCGTGGTGTTGCCCGAGGAGCCGGGCCGGTAGGTCTTCTCGCAGATGGAGCACTTCATGGGGTTGGAGCTGTTGTGCGAGCTGTGGTGCTGGGCCAGCGAGGTGAGCAGGGAGAAGCCCATCTTGCAGACGCCGCAGACGAAGGGCTTCTGCTCCACCTGCACGCACTGGTGCTCCAGCAGGTCCGTGGCCTGGTGGAAGATCTTCATGCACTGCGTGCACTGGAACGACCTCTCCTGGGCCACCATGCACTGGTGCTCCAGCGGGTTGGCCAGGTGGGAGATGTCGTGTCCGCAGGCGCCGCACTTGTGCCCCCCCTCGGCGCTGACCTGCAGGGAGGCCTGCTGGGCCTGAGCCGGGTGCTGCTGCTGCTGCTGGAGGGGCGCCGCGTCCGGCTGCAGCACGATGCCGTACACCGCGCAGCCCAGCGCGTTCTCGCCCCCCGTCGGGATGGTGTGGACCACGGGGGGCGGGGCCACTGCATGCTGCTGCCAGGCCTCTGTCATCCGAGCCCGGCTGTAGGGGTTCAGTTTGGCAGCCGGAGCCGCCCAGCTGTAGGGAGAGAGGCAAAAGGGGGGGTCAGAAAAAGCCTTCAGACGTCCAGAACAAAACTCAGGTGAACAAAAAACTCACTCCATGTTTTCCAGCGGCTCTGAGGACAGGAAAGGGCGCTCAGCGAGGCGGCCGTGACCCAGGCTCTGATGCCCGAGGCTGAAGAAAAGCTGCCCGATGACCAGAAGCTGCGAGGGATGGAGGGAAATCCACTACGTTCGCTCCATCCTTTATGGGTGGATCTGAGTTAAACAGAGTCAAAAAGTCAAATTAGCAGGTGCGTTGCGTCTCAAACATCTGCTGCATGGACACGCCTGACTCAAATTCAGCCCCTCACCTTTCAAACATGACCTGAATCCCCTTTTCTGCATAAAAATACACGTTTTAATCTGCTGGTTTAGCATTCAAATACACTTTTCGCAGCATTCAAATATCGGCCGCAAAACATCTTTTCTCTGGCAAAATGATCAATATGATGTTTCTTTAAAAGTCTACAATTACCCCCTAAATACCATAAGTAAATCTGTTTTTATCGGTCTTGTTTGTTTGCCTGTTAATCTCAAGATGTTTTACCTTAAATCGGGCCGTATTCTCCTTTTAGACCATCTCCTGCAGTGTGGCTGCACTTTGCATGCATCTTGCATGCATCTTAACAAACAAAGAAAATGCAAAAATCCAACTACATTGCCCCTTTTGGTAGAGCAAATGGTTTAGAAAATGAGCAGAGACCTTGCCTGGGGTTTCAAAATGAATGCATTAAATGAGTGATATGAAGACAATTGTTGCTTTCTCCATTTAAAGGAACAAAAAGAAGTTATATGGACTATGTGTTAAGTCAACGATGAATATTTACTTATAATACTGAATTGTTGCAAATATGATGTGACAGAAATGTGTGGTTTTCTTTGCAATTTATCTGGATTGTATGCAATTAATTATATTGGCACAAATAAATGACTGTTGCTGAAAGAAGACCCATTTCTTTAGGTCTGCATCTTTTGCATTTAGGATTCAGAAATCTCGGTCAAGCATACAAGCTTGGGACCATTTATGATTTCTCGCCAACAATCAGTTGAAGATAAACCAAAACAAAAGGCTCCAGGAGGACGTGCATCCTCCGTGAATGCTGAAACAAGGCAGCAAGTGTGCTCATTAACATATTCACCTGGACACAAACAACCCCACCGGGGTGTTTTGTTTTTATCTTAAATGAGCTGTAGTGGAAGTTAAGGGCCATCCCGTCTATTCTGACATCCAAATGCTGAACGATTCGCGGTCAAAGTGGAAAGCAGCGTCTGCGCATCATAGCGTTTTTCGTCTCCAGGCAAAATCACCGTAACCAGGATGAGCTAGCCAGCTAGCTTAGCCACCTGCTAGCAGCCGCGCGGAGGCGGCGTTAGCCCGGCTAGCCTCGGCCAAAACACCCGCCGACCGGCGGCGCCTCTCCGGCGCGGCGTGCACACAAAAACGGGAAATATCTCCCTTTAAATACCTGGAGCGTAATGCCAAGCTTCACGGGGGGGACCCCGGGCTGAGGGAAGTCTGTCGTAGGTTAGCTGTCCCCGCGAGCTCCCTCCTCTCACCCGCAAACGGCTCTCGGTTGGTCCGTTGTTTGGGCTCCAGGGGGCCGAAAATGAAGGGTCATTAAAACGGGCCGAAATTGTCCCGCGATCTCCCGGCTCAGCCCATCAAAGGCTCCGCGTCACATCGTCATTTATCAGCCTCCTGACGCATCCTCCCGACTGGCGAGAAGATACACATTTTGTTTTTAATTGTTAGCTAGCTGTCGGCTAGCTGCGGAGCCCCTGCCCGCGCACGGGAACATGAATAAACTCAGAGTTAATTGGCTGTTCATACTCACATGCACGCGCACACACGCTCAGGCGTGTGTGCGCGTGTGTTGAGTTTAACGTCAAACTTATCATTCATAGTCTCTTGATAAGAAAATAAGTATATAAAAAAATATTAATCTTAGCAGCTGTTACGTATTTTCTCATGAATAATTAGCAAAAGAAAATCTAAATACGTAGAAACATGCATTCCCCAACGGGTTACAATATGAGGTTATTTGGTGAAATTTTTTTTTTTTTAAAACATACTTAGTATATGGAGGTAAATTATCTTATAAAGGCTCAAATATGCCCCTGACACATCCCAACCCCAACCCGGCCAGAGGCTGCTGTTCTGGTAGGCCCGGGCTAAGTCTAGCCACGATCCCATCCCCGATGTTAACTTAACCCCTGACCCCTGATCCTAACCCTGACCCCTGACATCTGATCTTGACCTCTGACCCCTGATCTTGTCTCCAGGTTCATTAGCAGCTCACTCTCTGCGGGCTGCAGTTCCCCCCGTGTCCGCCGGGGGGCGGCAGAGGTCTGCTGTGGCTGACCGGATCCGTGCAGCCTGCCTGCAGACGTCCGGCCGATCAGCGGGAACCTGCCACCGGGGGGGGGGGG